AGTTTCAAATAAAAGAATCTGCAATATTTTAAAGTAGGCGCAAAATGTTAAACTTAAAATTCTTGTTCCTGTTCCGGACTGACTCCATCTTCAGACTGGTGATGTAGCATACTTTCTCGAACTTAAGGGGGTCTTCTCATTCAAAACCCGTTTTTTGGACCCTTTTTAAAAAACGGATCTTAGAGTTCTATTTACCCACTACTGGAGCTTTTACTTAAAGCTAGAGGGTTTTTTTTGGCTTTCTTAAATGATGATGTAAGGAATTTAATGATCCCTACACCAACTAACCCTTCATAAACTAATCAACGGATATATTTTTTCAGTTATCTTCTTAGTCAAATACGTTTCTCAGTGCCTTCCAGACTATCACGTTACTTTTAGCATATAGCTTCGAGGCGCGTGATCTTTTCATGTTCGCTTTACAACGACCTGAACTCTTTGTTGTATGCTGAAATGACTTTAATAAACGAAATATCTTATGACACCTACACTTGCCTTTGTCCACCTGATGTGAGTCACTCCTTATCCGGTCAGAGGTAAAGATATAGTTTTACAATGGCAGATGTTTGCTATTTCTTAATAATAAATAATAAAAAGCTTTTCTCCAAGTTCCAGTGACACTTAGGTAACTATGTTCTTAAGCAGTGTGCCAGGCCTACTAGTTGCAATTTTTAATAACTCACGAATGCTTTACAATACTGCCACCTTAATATCTAAGGACTTAAAGTTAAGGCATATTGATGTGATCTTTAGCGACCTGAGTAAATTCTTTGATTTAGTCATCAATTGCTGATTTCCATAAGGTTTTTAAATCTCATTTTAAAGGTATAGGTATTTCTACAAACATTTTGCGATCCTTTGGTAAAATCAATATACTAACACTTAAAATGCTTTCTGCTTACTGATCATGAGATAACTTTTATAGATCCTGGTTTTATGTTAGCAGCTACTCCATTGGTGAGAAACCTGATATTGGCTGTTCTCCACTATCACATTTTTAGCACTCAAAGCATTGTCCACATAAAGTTAAACGAGAAAACCCTTACTAATATAATGATCTGTATGTGATCTTGGCACTTGTAACTCACATGCTTATTATCCTATTTATTAAGTATGTTGGGTCATATATTAACCATATATATTCTTCGTTTTGTCAAATTCAAAAGCAGAACTCTGCTCTGAATTCTATTGTCTCTCTTACTCCCTAACTCTCCAAGTTTTGTTATTTCATACGGACAGACAGACTTAGCTGTTAATGACAATTTTTAATATATTATATATATGTACAGTTTGCGAGATCCAAGACTTCCTTTATTGCCTGTTATACATACTCCCGACTGTAATGTATATAAACAGTCATATAACATATCCTACTCTAGATCCCGGGGTCTTGTTTGATTAAAAGATTTCCTTTGATGTGCACTATACTTAATAAAACTAGCCTTTTTGCACTTCGTTAGTACGGCCAACAACACAATATTAAAATATAAATTTAAAAATGGTCTTTGGATTATTGATTAGCACCATTTTTATAAACAGACAAAAAGTGCAAATCAAATAATTGAAGAATAAATAAACTTTCCTTTGATTTTGAGCCTGTTTTTTTTTTTACTACCACTGAAAGAGCTCCAAAATAAATAAGAAGTCTTCATCTGCTGAGTTTTCGTAAGAAACTGATTTTATTCCATTCAAACCCTAGCTTATATAGCTAACATGAGAATGTACATTGTAGATCTTAGTTCTAGACCCACGCATCGGACAGTTCCCGATCGTGGGAAGTATTTTAAGTGAGATAAGGGTGCATACTGTCAACCCGATAGCACATATCTTAAACAATCCCAGACCGCTCACAGGAGGTCATATTTCGGGTTACTTGTTACATAGGTTCAAGTGGCTGTTTCTTATAGCTATGCACACAAGTGCTAGACCGTGCACTGCGGCAGAGATTTATTTAATGCTTAACAGATGCGTTCTTATCTAAAACCGTGTTCATGTTTGAACAACCACAAATGAGCTCGATTTTGAATACTTAATTTAAAGGAAAACATTAGTACTTTATATATACATAGTTACATTTTACACGTGAAATTAGTTTTCTGTGGGCTAAATTATATTAAAATTACGAAAACTTTGACAAAAACACCTAAGTTCTCAAAGACTTCGAAAACGCCTAAACAATCTCTAGTTGAATAATCACCCATCCCCACAACTAATGGCCACTTTGGCATATGCGTGGCCCGAGGTTTAATATTTATGGGTATATTTTTTAATATTGCTAAACAAAAATTTTGATGTATTTCGATTTCTATTGATAACTGGGTTTGTGGTAGTCTTCATACTTGCATTACATTTACATGCCACAATTTCAGAGAGCTTCGTTTTTCAAAACCCCAATACTTTTCATATTCATATTCAAAGTTGAGCTGCTTTTAGCATTATTCAAAATTTTATTCAATTTTAATATTTCTGGTTTTATTTAGCATCACCAGCCAACTCGATTTAGCCATGTTCGTTTGTACGTTTTGCCATTTCGTATAAAACAACAGATCTCAAAGATCTCTTATTGGAATCACATTTAAATTATCAAAAACAAAGTAATAACAAATTTTATTAAATTTACCTATTATACATATTATATTTAAAGTGTTACAGTTTTGGTTTTTCACAGCTTTACATTTTTCTCTACATCTACTGATCGTTCCTATGGCAGCTATAAATGATCTCTGATTTTCATAAAATTAAAAAAGAAATTCTGAAGTAATACTAAATGGCCATATCCCAAAGCAGATGAAAATATGTGGATAAGGAAAAATATAGATGTTGGTAGAAAACAGAAGGACGGCTGTTAATGCTAATCAAGAATATATATACTTTATAGGGTCGAAAATGACTCCTTAGCTGAGTTGCAAAAATTCTGGCTAAGATTATAATATCCCGCAAGGGTATACAAATAAGATCTGTGCGGAATTGAGGATATTAAATTCTAACAAGAAATCTATCTGCATTTAGATAGCTTACAAACTGGGGGACTAGTTTGCGTAGAAACGGACAGACAGACATAGCCTTTGATGCTGATAAAAAAAATATATATACTTACCTAGTATATATATAAATATATATACTTACCTAGGGTCGGAAATGTTTCTTTCTCTGCGTTGCAAACTTTTGACTTAAAAAGTTATAATACCTTAAATAGGAATAGACATATGACTTTATTAACTAATAACTCTCATTTTTAGATTTTATAATCTAAACATGACTGCCTCATAACCTCACCCACAATGCATTGGGTACCATATATTTCACAGTCGACCACACTCGACTGTAGGATTTTGACTTGTTTTGTATGTAAATGTTTCAATAGTTTCTGCTGTAGCTGGCATTTAAAAAAAAAGTTATTTGAGAAAATCAGACTCAAGTGTTTGATAATGTGGTCTTCTCAGTCTAAATCTCCTTTGAAATTAAATATTAAACATTTAAGTAAGTTTAATAAAACTTAAACTTGCATTAGGTCGCTTTAGGGAATTCTACTCAAACCGCACTGAGTCATCATTGGGAAATCCGTCAAGTTTTATGATCGCTCCACGGAAAACCACGAATAAAGCGATGAAATAGCGACGGCAATGGCGTCGAACGACAATTTTGACTCCGGCAACGGATCCTGTTCGCCTCCATCCTTCTCATTTTCCTGCTCAAACAACCCCTCCACCCCCCTCGGAAGATGGTCGTGGTCCTCGCTCTTGACCCTTTTCGCACCCAAACCCACTAGTACCGAAAACAGTCCCCCGCCGCTTTTTTCTTCTTTATTCTTTTCAAAAACTTTACGCCCATGGCCCCCCCTCCGCCCACTCTGCCTTCACCTTCCCCACACCCCTCGCCGTTGCCATTCAGGCAGACAAGCGACAACAACGTTGTCCACTTTCGCACCCCTCCCACGACCGCCCTTGCAATGCAGAGGGAGCGAGACAGAGAGAGAGGGAGTCACATAGAGAGCGAGGGAGCAAGGGAAGCCGTTGCGGAATTCGTGCTGTCCATGCCAACAGCAACAGCAACAACGTAGCCGGCTCATATATTTTTCTCATTTATTTTTCCCGGACCCACTCCCCGTATTTTTTGTGCGTTTTTCATATCCGAAACGCCGACACCACCTTTCCATGCCCACTTCTCGCTTCCCACTGCCCACTGTTCACCATCCCTTTTCCCGCTTCTGGGCGCCCCCCATCGGCTGTCCATGCTGGTTCTCCCCTCTCATTCCCACCCCTGCGACGATCCAGCCGGCCTTTTTTCTTGCGCCATGCCGGCAAAAGACAAAAGCAACAACGAAAGCCAGCCGCCCTCCACCCTCCACCCGCAAACTGTGGGTTGAGGCGAAAAAAAAGGAGAAAAAACAACAAAAATAATTGCTCCCTCTCCGAATCGCTCTCCCGTGCACTCACTCTTCCGCGTGGTTCTCCCCAACCCCACTTTCGAGCACCCATCCCATTCACAAAACCGTCGGCACTCAGCTGTTTGTCAACTCATCTGCCGCGCCGCCATCCGGCTGATTCCGCCTCCCGCTCCCCGCTGCCCCCTGGCAGCCCATCGGGCGCCCCTGGACAGCGTGGACAACGTGGTTCGTTGACGCCGAGCGCCGCGTTATCGGCGTTTCTCTGTTTTTGTACTCATATCCCTCTACTCTCACTCTCTCGTCGCGAAGAGAGCGAGCCGGAGAAAAGTGTGGAGAGGGGAGTGGGCGTGCGGGGAGGGTGTGGAGCAGGGGCGTAGTGAGTGGGCGAGGGGTCCGCGTGTGTTGCACACTTTTCGGCATTTCGCCTGCACACGCACATTCTGCTTTTGGCGGCGTCCCACATTCACCGTTCGTCCTCTCTGCGCAGGCGCTGCCACCTAAGGTCCTCGCACTCGTACTCTCACTCTCTCGCGCTGCCGACGTCGACGCAGGTCCTGGCGCCTCAGCTCAAAACCCACTTGGCCGTCTCTGTTTTGGTCAGTCAGCAGTTGGCTTTCGTCGTGTTTGGTTCGCCTCTGGAGCCAAAGCCCAAACCCAGATCCTAGAGCCAGGACCAAAACTAAAACCAAAACAAACCAAAACAAGAGTTGCCGAAAAGCATAAATTGCAGAAGGAGTACGAGTGCGAATGCCACAGGCGCGGAACAGTGATTTGAAAGTGTGCCAAGGGCCGTGAATAACCATAACTGTGCATCCCAGTGAACTGTGAGCTGTGAGCGAAAAAACCCGCCAAAAAGTCCTGACAAGTGCCAACACGCTGCAGCCAGTACGAACTCGATCCGAACAAGTGTTACAAGTGTGTTTAGTGCTAACGAGACCAGCGAGCCGGGGTGCATCCTAAGCTGCAGCTTTGATATCGTCGCATTTTGGCAGCGCCTGGTCCAGTTCAACTGTCTGGTCTTCGGGCGCCAAGGAGCTCCTCTACCCACGCAGGCACTCAGAAAAACTGCCAAGATTCCGAAGAATCCGAGGAAAACCCCAAAAACATCGACACGTACCGCATCGGCAACCGGTGGCGGTGGCGGAGGTGCTGGCGGAGGCGCCACCACCAGCACGAAGATGGCATCTAAAAGAAAAGCCTCGGTGTTGCTGCACAAGGTGAGTGTCCCTGGATCTGGGAAACTTTACACAAGAGTGGACTCAGCATCCAATGACTGTCTTGTTCACGTCAGTTGAACTCTTTTGTTTTGAGTAGAGGAAACATAATAATTTCCCTGGAAATATTTTGTTTAGAAAGACTTCTTTCCCAGGAATCATACTAAATTATTGTAATTTAACACCTATAGAAGTCACGTGATTTCTGAAAATATTGAGGATATAAAATTAATCATCACGTTTCGACTTATCCAAATAATTTTATGGATTCCTTGCACAAAATAATTTGAATAGTATCCATTTCAACACTCGGGAATGATATTTAACCTAAGAGGCAAAACCATAAACTTCAGGATATCTGGATCTAGGCTTGTAGGTCTTATCTTCATTATTTGGTCACCTATAGACCTCAACTTGACTGAAGCAGTTTACCATAGACCTTCAGACCTTACTCAGCTATCTCAGACCTAGCAAAACCTTTTTTCTTTACGTCCGCCTTCAGACTGATATCGCATCAATTTTGCCCCAAACCCAGTTTCTTTTCTTCCACTCTGAGACTCACCGCAGACCAGACACATTTACCCAGCCGCAGAGTAAACAGTTCGAAAAAATATGTTTGAAGAGTGCGAGGAGCAAAAAAGGAACGGAAGAAACGTAGACAGTTGCAAAAATATTGCTAATACGCAGAGTAGGCGGCAATCGCAAAAGAAAACCTGCTCATAATGCCTTTTTGGATAAAAAGGCGCCTAGATGGGGTCGCCGGGGGATTTACCATTCAGCGGAGGGAAGGCACTCTAATGATATACGACGCTGGGCTGCCGGTGTCCAAGTGTGTGTGTGTGTTTGCTTCTTGGTACACATAAAGGAGCGCGAATCGGGACTAGGACGAGGGAATAGAGGGGTGCAAAGTGTGCGTGTGTCTGTCAACGCGGCGGAGGAAGGGGTGCTCGTGTAACAGCATTGGGGTGGTCTGGCTTAAGGGTGTGGGCCACGGCCGTAGGGGCTAGCCTCCGAAAACGAAACGAGGCACACACACTAGCACGCCGCAAAGCGCCCACACCATAGTGCCACCCACATCCACATCCCCACGCACACTCACACCCTCAGCCACAGCCACAGCCACAGCCACAGTTCTGCACCCCTCAAAAGCGCCGCACCCCTCGCACATTTTCCCTGCACGGTAATTCATCAAACGACGAAGGCGAAGACGCAGACGAAGAGGGAAGAGGGTGAGGGGTTTCGGGTTGCGGGTTCCTTGGCGCGCCACAAAAGAAGTTGCTTCTTGGGTCTTACTCCCTGCCAACACACACTGGCAGACACAAACACAGCGAGTCCAGCGAGTGACCAGCCCTCCGGTGAACTTTCTTTGCCTATGTTCGGGGTCTGGCAAATCCTCGTGCTCCTGCATTGGGTATAAGGGTTGTAAAAAAAGCTGACAGCATTACGGATATTCGATTCAGGAAGATTCGATTCAATGATTCATTGGATCATGGATTACATACATGGTGGTTTCATTTGTAATGTTCCATTTTCCAAATAAGTCACATATTAACGTAGAACTATTATTAATATTATTCAAATATACATTGTTAAACTATATATATAAACCTATAATTTTGATATGTAGGTTATCCTACATAATTATTTCCTAAAGCTAAAAGGATGCTCTAATAGTTAAAAATTTAAGATCTTATTTAAGGCACCTGTACTTCTTTTAACCCTAAATAAATGCTCATTGCTTGCTTGCTTATTGGCGCTCCGTTACCCCTTCCCTGAAGCCATGACCAGTTCCACAGCCTGGACCCGTGAATGCGCCCGGTCCCCAAGCCGGCGGTCAAACACACAAAAGCATTGACTTTTGTATATAGCCAGCGACATTTGTATATAAATAGTTGAGTAACCATGTATGTGCTTGTGTTTGTCAAAGGAAACCCCTCTCCATGAGACCCACTCCCGCCCACACCCAAGTCCAAGCCCATCAACCCTTTGTGGGCGGACGGGTCAAGATTTCGGACTAAGCGCACATAAGCCGCCGCAGGACAGCGTGTGTTTCCAAGGGAGGAGAGCGTCTTCTTGTTTAATCTGAGTCTCAAAATATTTCCAGGGAAAACTTAAAGACTTTGAAAAAGTTTGAGGTCGCCCGCTCCACGGGAACAACTTGTTATGCTGCTCAGCTGTAATCAAACATGATTTGGTACAGTCAGAATGGGAGTCAGTCATCAGCCCATCATCGAACTTTTTGAATCGAAGGGTACGGGCGTGAGTCTGTGTCTTGGTCCTGGTCCTGGTCCTGATCCTGATCCTGATTCTGTTCTGGCTGTGCCACCGTTACACATCTCAGAATTAGTGTCTCTTGCAGACAACGTGCCAAGCGAATCGAAGCAGACGCCAAGGTTGGGTGCGAGATCCGGTGGCGAATCTCTACGAAAACCAGTCAATGTCGTCAACAACAGTCTGGGGAGCGGAGATGATTCCGTAGATGGAGCAGGACCTGCAAAAAGGACCAAACCGGGGATGGTGATGCAGAAGGAGCAGCATCTTTTAAGACGTCTGTCGACTGTCTTGACTGGCTCCAGTTCCAGCACCGGCTCCGGCTCTGCCTCTGGGTCTCCACCTCGGTTAGATGTTACGGAAAATTGCTTACGCTTTTTTGCACCCACCCACATACACATGGCCACATGTACAGGGTAGCACACACATGAACAGAGAATGGATGGGATTGGGATTGGGCTTGGGATGGGTTTGGCTGGGGGTGTGTGATATGCCATCATACAAACAGACAAGTTAGACAGCCCAAGACCCTCATCTGCTCAGCCATTGCTCGAAAATAGAAATAGATGACAAGAACACCAAAGACGACAAGGCAAGGGACCCGGACCGGGATGGGGACGGGTTGGATGGGCAATGTTGGAGTGGGCGGGGGCAGAAGACTCGATTGCGACAACGACTTTGGCTAAGGGCAACGACGAGCTCGACGGGCTTATGTTGGTTTCAGGGATATAACACTGAAAACAAGCACTAGGCGTAGTGGATAAGCAATAATATTGGATCCAGAAATATTGATAATGTCGATATTTTATCTGAGGCTTCGGTATTTAAAGATGCTAAAAATAATCGGTTTCAATTAGCGAAAGCCTTTAGTTTTACCGAGTAGACATTTAATCGATAAGCGATTGCAACATTTCTCTCAGTGGCACTTCCACGCCCACAAAAGTAAGAACCATCAGCTTTGGGCCACCTCAGAGCTCACTCCCCACCTCGGAACCCTCCTCATGGCAAAGCGGAGCCGAATAAAAAGGAAAAAAAAAAGAACTCACCACCCACCCGAAGCACAACAGACAAGCCCAGGAACCTTTACGCGCAGAACCACCCAAGACCATCCAGGCTACCCCCCAGACACACACAAGCACAGCCCTAGACCGAGTCGCACAAGCAATCTGCCAACTCAACTCCATCTTGGCCAAAAAAGAGGAGCTGAAAGGAGGGAGGGGAGGGAAAAGGAGAGGGAGAAGGAAATGAAGAAGGCAACGATGTATTTCAGCTTCAGCCACAATCAAAGTTGCTTCACAGGCGTGGAAGGGGATGATGGGCATGGAGGATTGGAGAATTGGAGAAGGGACCAGGGACCGATGCCAGACTTGGCTCATCCCCTGCTGCAGATAGAGACAGAGAGCGAGAAAGAGAAACGATTCCTGCATCCCTCGCCCAATCTACCCACACACTCACAATGGCACAAAAACAATGCCAAAAGTTTCTACACAAGCGCCTCGACCTCACCTTCACTCCTGGCCGCCCCTCAATGTTGCCAAGCCAAAGTCTTTGCCTTGGCATGCATGAAGCCCCCGCTCCGGTCTCGCCTCTACCCGGCCAACTTGCCTTCTTCCTGCCCCAAATTGTGTGCTACACTTTTCGTAGGCACAAAACCCCCGAACCGCCCATAGCCCATGTGTGTTTGCGTCTTCGACTTTGGCTTAGTATTTTTGGTTAATTTTCTTGCAGTTTTAGGTTACGTTTTTGGCTTTTACCACTGATGCCAGCTCCTTTTATGAACGCCCGCCCGCCCCCAGCCCTTATCCGGAGAGCCACCCCTCGGGCCTTTCACTTGTGAAAGACGTTTGCTTAAAAGCCACCGCACACACACCCCCGCAAAAGCCGCTTCCTCCTTTCCCGCCCGCACTCCCCACTCGTGTTTAGTTAGTTTGTGATGGTTTTTAGTGCCGGTGACTCGAGACCCGAGACATCTTAAAGGGGTGCCGGCACACACACACACACACGTGCAGGATGGAGTGGAGGTGGAGCGACCCCAGAGTCTGCCCCTTCCAGCCTGTCGCCGGCAGGCAGCATACAAATGAAACCCACGTCATGTCGTAGCCGAGTGTCGCTCCGACTCCCTGATCCGAGCCACTACTCCTCGCCCTATTCCTCCGCATACCCTTCATTATTTTCCATTTTGCTGCCGCTCTACCGATGCTGTGGCTGCTGATGAGCTAAGCCAGCATCTACAAATTTTTCTGCCCTCTTTCGCTCCGTCTCCGCCTCGGTCTCCGTCTTTGTGCAGTGTTTCATCAGCCACATTTTACATTTATTACTCGGGACAAAACCCCCAACTGGCACACCCGTTCCGAGGGGTTTCTGGCTTAATGAAAACGAGAGGGGCTCCTTGGTCCGGCAGAGGCCTCACGATTGATGTGCAGATGGAACACACACACTCAGGGCACCAAGACCTACCACCACCACCAAATAGGCAATAACCTTTGGCCAAGTGCTGGCCAGGACTTCGCCCACTTGAGTGCTCAAAACGCCAACACGAAACGATTCATCTTCGCTTGCTTTCGGGCGACACCCAGTCCAGAGTCCAGGCCCATCGGGGAGGCGACCCTCCGCTTAGCCGAAGCGCTCGTCCTTGCTGTTTTTTCTTTTTAGCGACTTGGGTCTTCCACTTTTTGCCGACAAGATTTTGGGCAGCCATGGAGGCGGAGTTGGCAGGCAACGAAAAGGATCTG